TAATAAAACCATGCTCAAATATGTTTTAATATGAATAGAAGTTAATTTTAATAATACAAGTCATAATCCATTTTTTCTATTCATATTTTAGCAATTTAATTTAAAGATAGAATATTTTGAGTGCACTTTTTGTGCACTCATCAGCTCCCGAAGACCCTATAAACTGAAACCCCACATGCTGTCCCCCCCCAAAGACTGCGCACTACAGCCCTCAAAACGACCTCCAACTTTGTTTCTTGTAGGCATACTAGGTCAGCCCTCCATCCCCTTAATAGATTCCGAACACCAAGTCTTTTCCCAGCTTCATTAAGTCCCCTCACATTCCAACTAATGATTTTTGGAGTCATCTAAACCTTTCATCATCCCTCCCCATATTGCCTCTCCTTGACTCTTTACCCTTGAGATCATAATTAACCGAGCATTCGAGGCGCTTAGGTTCACGATCACCTTTTCTTCTTGACTTGCCTCCTGGTGTACCCAGCCCATGTCCCCTATCGGCCTCCAGATCCTCGAAGAATTGTACAAGCCTAGTTTCCTGCACATCACATGACACACCGACCGTCTAGCAGAAATCTAAAATTCTTTGAAGGACCCACCTCTATGGCTGAGGTCTAACATCAGCCACGCTAAATCTCGCCATNTGTACAAGCCTAGTTTCTTGCCCATTACATGACACGCCGACCATCTTGCTGAAATCCAAAAATCTTTGAAGGGCCCAACTCGACGGTCGAGGTCTACCATCAGACCAGCTAATTCTCGCCATACCCTCAACATACATGGGATCATAATAGCTTCTCACCTCGGCCTCCGCCCGAGCAACATCACCGTATGTATCCCCCGTCTCGACTCCTCCAACCCACAATACCAAAGAATTCTCATTCGTTGGATCCCCTTCCTTCGGAGAGTTAGAAAATCTCCTACAATAGGTGTTCACCACCCTAGTTGCTGAGTCTGTCGGCCCTTGCTGTTTCTCAGTAACCAAAGTTGGACTATCCCCCACCACAATTTCGTGTTCGTGCTCAATATCCAACAATGTTCCCTATACAGGGTGAATCGTGCCTAGCCCACTCTCATTTGTAGGGCAATTGGTCTCTTCCAATAACTCCGAGTTCAGAATCGTGGTACCCGACTGCCCTACCTCACTCCTAGATTTCATCTCAAGAGACGCCTCAATCCAAGAATCCCTTACATCCCTATATGGTTCCCCCATCTCGACCCTATTTCCATCACCGAAAGAATTAACCACTTCAGTTTGCGTCTGAACTTCGCCTGGAGGCTTATCTAAGCCCACCCCACACGTAGGACAGTAATTGATCGTGGGGCCCACTATAGACGTTTTTTCCACCTCCTTAAACAAGTCATCTAATTCCTTTTTCAAAGCCTGAATGCGAACCCGTAATTCTGCATTAGGGCCATTCCCCTCAGTCCCCATCCTTTCCTTACACAACAATACCCGCTGATCAGCATTATTCGATGTCCCAACATTAGTTGTCACATCGGCATAAGTTACCCCTGATCCCCTCTTGTCATCAACGATTCGGCGTTTAGCCTTATCGCTGGAAACAAGTGAATCAACAACTGCTTGAAACACGCGGGAGATCGATGCCCATCCTTCTCCATTCGTACCTTCCGACACCATCACAACTCCTTTTCGACGCCTCTCCCCGTATTGAGCTATCATCAAAAACCTACTACGCTTGTTGGCACAACGTTGTGCCAAGAAAGCTCGCGAAGACTCATTAAACTTAGCGACAAAATCCTCCATCCCATCAGCTATCCTCAATTTGTCCAACATATTCACCATCCAGACGGCACCATATCGGCCCATGCAAGTTGCACCCGATACCTTTGAACTCCATTCTGATAACTTAATAAACCCCGAATCCGTAACAGACACAACAAATTCCTTTGCCTCAACACGAAATCGTGAATTGAAGACATTGATACCCCCTGAGTAGGTCTGTTTCCCACTGTTTTGAGCAAATAAACCAGTAGATGATGAAACCACTGGTCGAAATGGCCTCGGAGCAGTAAACTGAATCTGGGCAGAACTCACAAGCGGTGCGTGGGGCCCACGTGCCGGCAGGTCATCGCGATCGCCGGGCGCCTGACCTGTCGGAATCGAAAACACCTGTACAGGCTCCCGGACCGGCGCGTGTAGTGGTGGGTTGGCCGGAATAGACGGAATCAGAAATTGACAGCCATGAATCACCTCCTTCTTCTTCATCGCTGAAGCTGTTATGGAGCTGCTGCCTCGATACGAACCGCCATCATGGACCGTCGACCCGTCGCCGGCAGGAGCGTCGTTCAGGCCATCGCGCAGAAGGGTTGCAGAACTAGGGTTTCTGTCGCCAGTCAATAAATCGGACGGGAGGCTGGAAATTTGTGGCGTGAGTCCGGTAGGGTTAGGTCCTGGGTGGCTAGCTGGGTTGGGTGGTGGAGGGGGGTGTTTGGATGTGGCGGGATCTGCCATATTTGGTGGTGGAGGGAGATGGTTTTACTGAGAGAGCAGAAGGTCGTGCATTCTCTTTTAATTGATTTACTTGGTAACATTTATCAACTATTTGATTTAATCATC